ACCCCAGCACCTACCATTATGCTTAACACATAGTAGGCATCCTTTGAACATTCACTGACTAAATGAACATTGTCTCACTTTTTGTCCTTCGAGTAACACACAGGTTCAACAAAGTAGAAAGGGAAAAGCTGACATAAGTGACACAAGTTACAGTTTTGATATAGTTTGTAGGATATCTTTCTAATTCCTAATTAGGCATACCCGTGAAATAAGAAAACAGTAACTATCATTGATCACACATGGAGTGTGTCCTGCCTATGCTAAGCGTTTATGTCTAACTGAACAGGTGAGAGAGATGTTATTATCTATGGAAGGGCACAAGGCAGCCTGAGGTTACCTAAATTGCCCAAGATCGAGTAGCTACTGAGGACACAACTGAAACTTAAATCTAGGTCTATTTTTTAAATGTTTTAAAATGTTTGATTATTTATTCTTGAGAGAGAGAGAGAGAGAGAGAGAGAGAGAAAGTGCAAGTGAAGGAGGTACAGAGAGACAGGTAGAGACAGAATCCGAAGCAGGCTCCAGGCTCTGAGCTGTCAGCCCAGAGCCTGAGGCGGGGCTCAAACTCATGAACCATGAGATCATGACCTGAGCCCAAGTCGCATGCTTAACCAACTGAGCCACCCAGGCTTCCCTAAACCTAAGTCTATTTAAACCCCAAGCCCATATCTCATCCATCTCATGCTGTGTATCTGAAAGTCAGCTATATAAAAAGGAGAATTATCTGGTTCTCCATTTCTTTAAAGGGAAAAATAATCTCACAACCTTGCAAAGGGAACAGTAAAGATTTGAACAACGCATCACTGTTCAGGGGGTTGTACGGCAATGCAGGCCACAGGGGTGAAATCAATTTGAAAAATGCCATTGGTTATATGCTGAGTTTTATTTGGCAGTCCCACGTGTCTTACAGGAAGTGTTTTTATTAACCCTAGCTTTTAATTGTGATGGCAAAAAGGTGACCGTTGTTATCAATTTCCTCCTCAGGGACTTACTCTTCTAGAAAGGGTAAAGGATGGGTACTAAGAACCGATGGACACCTCCCACGCACCAGGCACTGTACTACACACTTTCCTATCATTTCCTCCCACATTCTCTCTTTTAATCCTCACAATAATAACCCAAAACTGAGATTATACTCATCTTTTTGCAGGTGAGTGATGAGGGACTCAGAATGCTTTAGTAATTTAATATCACACAGAAACGAAGGGTCACAGCCAGGTCCCACCACTCCCCTATTCTGCTGAACTCTGTGGAGCCACTGCTCTAAATGCGAAGTTAGGGGGCACCTGGGTGGCTTAGTCGGTTAAGCGTCCGACTTTCACTTAGGTCATGATCTCGCGGTTCGTGGGTTTGAGCCCCGCGTCGGGCTCTGTGCTGACTGCCAGCTCAGAGCCTGGAGCCTGTTTCAGTCTGTGACTCCCTCTCTCTCTGACCCTCCCCTGCTCACGCTCTCTCTCTCTCTCTCTCTCCTAGAAATAAATAAAACATTTTAAAAAAATAAATAAATAAATGCGAAGTTAGACTAAGACTTGAACAAAGTGCAGGAGTGCTAGACTCTTGCTCAATATTTAATAAATATTCAGTGACTTCTGTGTACTTGGAAATACACTGGGGAGTAGCGCTAGAAGAATTACTGAGTGGCTCACTTATAGGAACATCTTCACCAGCCCTTGCATAAGCCTCCTCGAGCCTTGATATACAAACTGGAGATGTATATATAATTGTCTTCCTATTTACTTCCCATCTGTTCGCAAACAGCCACCTTTGGAAAATCCATTCGCTCCAAGCCCCCAGCCGCACCTGCGGCCTGCCCATGTTGTTGATTATCTCAGTAGAAAGCCAATGCTCTTCACAGCCTAGGTTTTATGTTCCTGTTAAATCAAAAGATGTGGTAAAACTTATATTACTGCCCACTTAACTGAAGTTGCAATTTTCATTGTGAGGCAGCATGATTTTGAGGTTCAAAAAAGGCAGATTTGGAGTCAGACTGCCTGGGTCCTAATCCCGCTCCACCACCCAGAGCCACATGACCTTCAGCAGATTACTTAACTCCTCTGTGCATCAGTCCCTCAGATATAAGGTGGGGACATAACAGTGCCACCTAAAAGGCACATTGTCAGCATACACTGAGATAATACATGCAAAACACTTAGAACAGCAATAGGCTTGCTCCCATTCCTTCCTGAAGAAGGCTGTATTCAGCAGCATAGCTACGCCTTCACTGGAGATTTTTAGTATGCACGCTCTTGCTTCTCCACTAATTTCTGAAGCTAACCGAGGATCTTTCAGCAAATGTCCCAATGACTGAAGGTCCCTGCATAGTGTGCTATAAGGGACTGGCTACCTAAGGTGGGCAGTTAGAGAGAGGAAGGAAACAAGAAATCAAAGAGTCCAGTTAGCGGCCATCCTTCCCATAATTACCCTCAACAACAAACTCTCTGTGTAGACCCTACAGTAGCCATTCCTTAACCTTTTAGCAAAGGGGCTTTATTTCCATTTCTATGAAGTTTGAAGTCATCAAAAGGAGGGGAAGCCAATTCCAAAACCCTGAGTGGAGCTGGGGAGGGAGAACATCTACTGGCTAAGTTTTTGTTTCAAACAAAAAAGCTTAATACCCACTGCTGCCTGGAAAGTCTCATATGGTGAGCTCAGCTTATCATCTTTGGTGACGCCTATTCTAAGGAAGACTAGATGGTGACATTAAAAGAGGCCTGGCTCTAAGAAGAAAAAGAAAAAAAAAAACCCAGAAACAAAATGAATCCTTATTGAGCATTGACTATTTTCTCATTTAATCCTTCCAAATGCTCTGTGGTTTTCAGAAAAATGATGTTCAGAGACTTCAGTAATTTGCATTCACTTTGGTGACTTCTCTCTTGGTAGCGGTGCCAGAATTTGAACTCAAGACTTTAGTGACATGCAATTAAGTATTACTAATGAAACATTTAATCTGTTGTGAGCAAATATTGATCGAGTTCTTTCTCTGTGTCAAGAACAATGGTAAATGCTGACCATATAGATAAAGAAGAGGACAAAAATAAGTGAGTGTCTACTGTCATGGAGCCAGAGCCACTGATGAGACCAGAGGGTGGAACAGAGAATAGACCCTGTGTCCAACCCAAAGCAGAAAATTTTCATTTTTTCCTGTTTTATATTGGGCTTCCATGGAAGACTTTGCCAACATGTTTGTCTTTTATTAATCATTTTTAAAAGATTGGAAATCATTGATAAACCATCAGCATATTCAAAGAAGAGAAAAATAAGTAATTTTTCTTATTCTCTTAAACGAGAATGATTCTATTAGATAAAAAAAAAAAAGGAGGAGGGACTTAGACCAAACATAAATTATAGTCTACTTGTCCCCAATGAATTTTCATCTGATTTTCAAGTGATACTGAAAAGATTCCTTTTTAATTCACCTTCAGCTATGTTCAGGGGGGTGTTCCTTTTTCTCTCTAGTAATTATTTTTAAAATTTGGGAGCCATCTGCCCCTTAGTGAGTATCTTAGTAATTGTAATTGATATCTTTCTCCAGACTACTGTAGCTAAGGCCACCAAACTACTGTTATTAAGATGGGGTCTCAAGATACTCAAGAATTATCTCCAGAAAAACAATGCTCTGCTAGTGTGTGGAGCAACCAGAACATTCTCACCTTCCAAATGGACTGCTCTCATTTCTTCCATTCGGATACAAATGAGATGCATGACACATCCTAAAAGAATTACTTATGGGCAGTGTGATCTACCAGAAAGAGCCCCAGTCTTGGGTTCTTGCTTTGGTATCTAGATGAACTCTGTCTAGATTAGATCCCGTCATCTCTGATTCTCTTTTCCCCGCTTGAAAAAATAAGATGGGGGGGTGAGGGTGGAGGTGCAAAGGTGGGAGGGAAAAAATAATGCTACTTTCCTTTCTATCCCACGTGTGGCTGTGAGGATCAAATAAAATCATAAATAGGGAAAACTTTTAAGAAATGTTGTAGAAGTATCAGATGAAAGTATTTGTATGTCTAGAATTAAAGATCCCTTCAGAAAAGGATTTATAAAAAGAAAGATCTGGTAGGCTGCTGGCATCTAGTTTCTGGAAAGCAATACAAAGAAGTATGTAGTTCCTACGATGTCTGGAAACCCTGGCTGCATCAAGGGCACAATGGGGCTTTGAGACAGCCTTAAGAAAACAGACTGGGGCTGATACATACTGATTGTGCTTTCACTGGGGGAAAATATAAATCAAAGAGGGACACTTCACTCTTTAATCGCCAGTTATTTCCTCTTCAATGCTGTTAAGAGTTCCTTGAAGGAACCACTTTCACAGAGGCTGAGAAAAGTAGTGTAGACAAACCGATAAGCTTTTTATTACCCTATTGTCTAATTCCCTGAAAGCTAGAGGAAATAACAAAAATGGAGACAGACCACTGCCCCCATTTTTTTTCTTAATATTCAAAAACCAAACTAAAATTTTCTCCTTTTAGGCTATTATTGTGACTCAGGAAAGCCAGAAAGGATTGTATGTGGAGTGTAGGCTCCTACACACACACACAAACACACACACACACACACACACACACACACACACACACACACACACCTTGATCTATCCTGGTTTAGTTTTTCTTTTGAACTCTTAATTGATATACTACCGCATTAATGCTCTCATCTTTGTGTTACCTAACCTACCCTCATCTTGATTTTTCTAGATATTAAAAATGTCCTCTAAAATGCAGGAAGTGAATTTCTGTAAGCCTGATACTCAGGCAAACCAGCACCCCAGGAAGCAAATCATAGCAGCTGAGGGTGCATGGAAATCCCAAAGTAGAGGCCTGACGTGCCAGGCAGCACCCAATCTTTGCGCCCTGCAAGAAAGAATGCCATTGGAGCATGTAAGCCCACTGACGTTGGTGGTGGGTTTGTTTTATCTGAAAAACGTTCTTGTTCTAACTTCTCTTGCATGACCTCACACAGTCCCCTCTTTCTGGTCCCTTATCTAGTAGCTCTGACTCACTTACCCAGGGGAATTTTTTCCAGCAGGTAGAGATAGCTCTGAAAGAAGTCATTGCGAATGGCTTTGTGAAGGATGAAGGACATGCTATGTCGACAGAGTTCATCGTCGGTCTTCTGCCAGCGGGATCGAAAGGCAAAATGGGCTCCCAGGTGGGTCATGGTGAAAGCGGATGATAATTATTCCTACAGAGGAAGGAAGCACGCCTGGCTGTTTCTTTGAATTAGCCTTCTCTTTCTACACGAACTTGAGACTGTCATTTTAAACCAGCCCTGTCCATCTATATCAGGAGAGGCTGTCATGGGGCGCGGGGGAGGGGCAGCACACACAGGAGGTCAAGCTCCTGGCACATGCCTCCTGCCTGATTGCTTGGGCGACACCACTCCAAGCCAGCAGGTGCTAAGTCAAGATGAAAACAGGCTGAGTGGGATCCTGCTTCATCCAGGAAAAAGCAGCGTCCGTTCTTTAGCTGCCACTTCAAACAGGGACCAGCACAACCCGCTAACACCCTGACTATTTGGCCTAATTTGATTCCTAAATTGGAATAGGCTAATTTCCATTTCAAAGCGTTGGGAATATTTTGCAGAAGATCATGTTTCCTGATTTCCATCACTCCCCCTGGAACACAGAATCCTCAAGTTACAAGGACCCTTCAATGTCATCCTAGCCACCTAGGCTCCTCCCATCAGTGCAATTTTGCCCAAATCATTTCGTAGGGATGGATGTGTGTTTCCCATTCTTCAGGGTTCTTCAAGAGACACAATTAAATGAAAACCTGTTTTGATGGTCAATACCCATCCCTGCCAGCAAACCTTTCCTTCTAACTTGCTCTAAACAACACCTCATCGGGTAAGCCTGTTTCTCCCTCTCTGTCTATCATGGGGGATGATGTTCCTTATAATTATTCACTTAGTTTCTGTCCTTCCGTTCCTTTCTTGACCCTTCCCACATACTCTGTACCCTGGAGGCTGACCTGTATCGAGATCAGCAGACTTTCTTGCCTTCTGGATTCTAATTGGGTTCTGCCAATGGGTAGTGCCAGCAGGAGACTGGGAGGAGAATGAGCCAATGTTATTTATTCCCCTGGTACCTTCCCTGTGGAGATGCCATAGGCTGACTGCCTCCTTTGGTGGAAAGTCGTAACTCCTAGCTGGCATCTTATCATACGGCTATTCTGTCCTACTTCTCATAACCTCTCCCTCCTTTACTGCCTCAGCCCTCAGGGTAATGATGTGTCATTCTGTCACAAGCCTAGGAGTAATGCACCATTCCTTTGCAATTTTGCTATGCTTACCTATACCCTTTTAAGTAGTCCCTTTATTATTTAATTTTTTAAATTTTTTAAATGTTTATATTTGAGAGAGAGGGAGAGAGAGGAAAAGAGAGTGCACGCAAGGCAAGGCGGGGGGGGGGGGGGGAGAAGGTGCAGGGGCAGAGAGAGAGGGAGACACAGGATCCAAAGCAGGCTCCAGGCTCCGAGTTGTCAGTGTAAAGCCCAAGGCAAGGCTAGAACCCACGAATGTTAGATCATGACCTGCACCAAAGTTGGATGCTTAAGCAACTGAGCCACACTGGTGCTCCCTTTTTAATTTTTTCATGTTTATTATTTATTTTTGAGAGAGACAGAGAGAATGCAAGCGGGAGTGGGGCAGAGAGAGAGTGGGACAGAGGATCTGAAACCAGTTCTGTGCTGACAGCAGAGCCTGATGTGGGGCTCGAACTCCCAAACTGTGAAATCATGACCTGAGCCAAAATCAGACGTTTAACTGACTGAGCTACCCAGGTGCCCTGACAATAGTCCCTTTATTAAACTGGCTCAAACTCTCAATTTGCAAAGGTTGTTTTTTTCCTATAGACACTATGACCACCATTTTATCCCTCTAAGGCTCCTAACAGGAAAGTCCATAAGAACTCAGTGCTCCATTGAACCCATATCATGTGAGACCACAGACCACCCACCAACCCCAAACATAAACGCGCACACAGATGCACCAATGCCCGCATTATGACAGGCAGCATCTAGGATGGCCGCTAACAATCCCCTGCTTATGCCTGATACTTGCACGCTTGTGTATTCCTCTTTCCTGAAAGTGGGTAGACTTACTGACTCACTTCTAAAGAATAAAATACGGCAGACATGATAGGGTGTCACTTCCAAGATTAGGTAATAAAAAAGAGTGTCTTGGACATTTCCTTTGCTCTGTTGCTTATTTGCTTTGCAGAAAGCCGGTGCCTGTCATGAGCTGCCCTGTGGAGAGGCCCACAGGCCTCTGGCAAGGAAACTGTCTCAGTGCAACAGGCCTGGAGTCCAACAGGAAGAGCTAGATTCTACCAACTATCCTGAGTGAGCTTGGAAGATCTTCCTCCAGCTAACCAAATAAAAGAACTTTATTCTTTTGGTAATAGCAAAGCTATACCCAAGTTACCAGCCTACAGAAATAAATGTCTCATGTTTTAAGCACCTCAATTTTGGAATCATTTGTTTCAATGCAGCAATAGAGAGCTAATTCACAAATCGTCAGTGGACGTTTTCTAAGATGTAGAATCTAATCATGATCCTTCTTTATGTTTAATTTACATGTTAATCTTACTGGCCAAGAAAGTAAACGTTCCATTTGTTTAACTCCGATTTATTTTCTTTCATTTTCCTATGCTTTTATTTTCCCATTTCCCTCACCTGACCTCAAGGGACAGCCATTCAGTTTTGATGGAACTGTCCCCATCCCTGGCTTCAAGAGTAGCCCAAACTGCAATTCAAGTTATCATTTCCTTTGCTGCAGTGTGTGGTTGGTGAAGAATGTGTCAGCCAATCAATACACAGTGTTCTCTCAGGTCCAGTTTTCATTTGGAAGACGGTACATTTATCTAAATCTGTTGTTAATTCCAGCTTGAGTTGGGTTTTCTGTGCTAGCCACATGGAGTCTCATCTAACACAAATACCATCCTGCCTTATTTATACTCAATTTTCATGAGGATGGAGAGAAAGCAGCTGATATCAAACAAAATATGGAAAACAAATGAGTATTTCATGGTGTTAAGAACAAAGACTAAATTTTTTTAATGTTTATTTATTTTTGAGAGACAGTGAGAGACAGAGTGTGAGATGGCAGGAGGCAGGGGGACAGAGAGAGAGGGAGACACAGAATCTGAAGCAGGCTCCAGGCTCCGAGCTGTCGGCACAGAGCCCAATGCAGGGCTTGAACTCACAAACCGGGAGATCATGACCTGAGCAGAAGTTGGATGCCTAACAGACTGAGCCATCCATGTGCCCCAAGAAGAAAGACTCTTAACTTAAACAGATTTGATTAAGTTAGAAACACATTTCCACCACTTACATACTGAGCAACCTTGACAAATTCTTAGTCTCTGCACCTTACTTTCCTCTTCTGTAATACGAAGTTAATGGTAATAGTATATATCTCATATACCTGTTGTGAGGACTAAATATACTCCATGTAGAACACCGCAGTACCTCGCACACAGTACATGTTCAATAAGTGCTAGGTATTCTCATTTTAATCTTTGGAAGAAGGCTGATGATAAATTATAGGTCCTGAAAATACTTTGTACATATGACTCTTCTTGGATTGTTTTCAATGTGACACTCCTTTACCATGAAGTTTCACCATTTACACTGGAGATTATTTGTACTGGATACATTTAAAAGTTGAGAAGAAAAGAAATCCAAATGAAATGTGCTAGTAGAGCTCATTCATCCAGCCTTCAGAATTTTCTATTGCTGTAGGGAGACTACAAGGTCCTCTTTTGTTACTTGTATTTGCCAATACATCTAATAGGAGGCAGATTCTTTTTGTTTGTTTGTTTGTTTTCCTAAGTTTATTGTCAAATTGGTTTGCATATAACACCCAGTGCTCATCCCAAAAGTACCCTCCTCCATGCCCATCACCCCCCTTTCCCTCTCCCCCACTCCCATCAGCCCTCAGTTTGTTCTCAGCATTCAAGAGTTTCTCATGGTTTGCCTCCCTCCCTCTCTCCAACTATTTTTCCCTTCTCCTCCCCTACGGTCCTCTGTTAAGTTCTTCCTAATCCACCTATATGTGCAAACATATGGTATCTGTCCTTCTCAGCCTGACTTATATTGCTCAGCATAACACCCTCAAGGTCCATCCACGTTGTTACACATGGCCAGATTTCTATTCTTTCTCATTGCCAACTAGTATTCCATTGTATAGATAAACCACATCTTCTTAATCCATTCATCCGTTGATGGACACTTAGGCTCTTTCCATGTTTTGGCTATTGCTGAGAGTGCTGCTACGAACATTGCAGAACACATGCCCCCATGCATCAGCACCCCTGTATCCCTTCGGTAAATTACTAGCAGTGCTGTTGCTGGGTCATAGGGGAGTTCTATTGTTAATTTTTTGAGGAATCTCTACACTGTTTTCAAGAAGGGCTGCACCAGTTTACATTCCCACCAACAGGGTAGGAGGGTGCCTATTTCTCCACATCCTCGCCAGCATCTATAGTCTCCTGATTTGTTCATTTTAGCCACTCTGACTGGCGTGAGGTGGTATCTCAGTGTGGTTTTGATTTGTATCTCCCTGATGAGGAGGGATGCTGAGCATTGTTTCCTATGTCTGTTGGCCATCTGGATGTCCCTTTTGGAGACGTGTCTGTTCATATCTTCTGCCCACTTCTTCACTGAATTGTTTTCCTCAGGTGTGGAGTTTGGTGAGTTCCTTATAGATTTTGGATACTAGCCCTTCGTCTGATATGTCATTTGCAACTCTCTTTTCCCATTCCATCGGTTGCCCCTTAGATTTACGGATTGTTTCCTTTGTCATGCAGAAGCTTTTAATCTTGATGAGGTCCCAGGAGATCATTTTTGCTCTTGATTCCCTTGCCTTTGGGGATGTGTCGAGTAAGAAACTGCTGCGGTTGAGATCAAGGACGTTGTTTCCTGCTTTCTCCTCTAAGGTTTTGATGGTTTCCTGTCTCACATTCAGGTCCTTTATCCATTATGAGTTTATTTTTGTGTATGGTGTGAGAAAATGATCTAGTTTCATTCTTCTGCATGCTGCTGTCCAGTTCTCCCAGCACCATCTGTTAAAGAGGCTGACTTTTTTCCATTGGATACTCTTTCCTGCTTTGTCAAAGATTAGTTGGCCATACATTTGTGGGTCCAATTCTGAGTTCTCTATTCTGTTCCATTGGTCTATGT